AGAAAGAAACAAAACAAAAAAAACCCCCCCCCCCCCTCCCGCCAACTTATATTAAAATTATTCAAATGCCTAAAAATTTCGGCTACCAAAAATTTAAAGTGAATAAACAGCAGCAGCAACAACAACAACAACCACAACTAATAAAAATCATAGTGCATTTTGACGTTACCGCGGTCATTGCCCCTGCGCTCACTCCGTTTGTTAAGTGCTCATAAATATTTTCTAGAATACACATATATTTATATACACACATATGTATATGCATTTGTAACGTATATATATACATGCATACATATGTGCGTATTTAAATATGTTGTATTGTTGTTGGTTAGAGCCCTTTTTGGCTGATTGCTTTTTTTTTGGTTTCATTGTATGCTCCAAGCTGTTGAACAGCACACACACGTATGTACATACAACTTTGTATAGTATATAGAGGAATGCACATAAATATACTACAAACTTCATATACATATATTACTTACCCAACAAACACAAGGAAAGCAAATTCATCTGCATTTCATGAACACAGAATTCTCCAGTGGAATTCGCATTTTTTCCTCTACTTTCTTCTTTGTCAATCTTCGAAAAGGAGGTGGTAATTTAAGAAAGGTGGAGTTCAACAGAAATATTTTAGACGAGAAGTTTCCAATGGTTCGAATTTAAGGAATTCGCAAAATATTCAACGTACAAAGTTAATAAATATATTTATGTGTATGTAATTATAATTGAACCTTTTTTAACCACTGAAACGAGTTTCAGCCGAGTTGTGGTGTGCGTCTTCTCGTTTTTTTTTCTTTTTTCTTTTTTTGGAATAAACCTCCTCACAGCTAACCGAGTTTTATGAAGAGCTTTTGATTTAATGTCAGAAATCCACTCGGAGGGCTTGACATACCCTGCAGAGTGTGGACAGCAAACAGAAAAATTAACTAAATTTTTGTATTTAAAATTATTTTGAATAATTTGGTTTATTGGTCAGACCATATTTCGAACCCATGACCCTCCGTAACTGCGGTCACCGAAAATTAAACATAAAAGTTAACTGGGTACTGACTTTTGGGCTTTTCACACTACATTTTTGTCATTCCGTGTGTGGTGCCTTGTATCTTTTCTGGGCATTCGAAGCACAAAATTTGAGCTTTGAAACACACGAATATTTAAAACTTTTTAAACGTTTTCCTTATTTTTGTCTAATGCCCCCACTCAAAAGTCAGCTCTGTGTTGATCAAATATATGTATTGTATAAAAGTTCTCTGGTTAATTAATTTTATCTTCACACTTGATTGAATGAGTGAAGTTTACGTGTTCTCTATTTGGTTCTTCTCATTCGTTCTTTAATTAACTATTATAATGTAGAATGTAACACAGTGGGCTAATTGTCCCCAAAATTATATAAGAACTCGGACTGAATGTAAAATGTGACCGAGAAACTGGAACTTTCTGTCCTAACTGGAAGCATTGAGTGGGGGGAGAAAGTTCATCGTAAGCTTTGAAGATTTATATTTACACTTATGGGTCTAACCATTGGCCTTTCAACCAATCAAGTGATTTATAATGTAAATAATTGTGATTCATTGAAGAGCAAGTGAATTTGCCCAACGGATCTTATTGGCTCTTGCCAGACCCAGTGAAGATCCATTATATTGACCAGTGGAATACTGGGTTGTATGGGTGGTGTCTAATGAAGTATACCAAATAAAATCTTTTGCACTTTACAGAGATATTTTGCGATATCTCACTTTCATCCTGCGAGTTCAATACTCCTCGCAGGTACTACTGGAAATGGGACCAACATCAGTAGGTTGGTTTAAGATTTAAAATGATCTAGCAGATTTCTCGCACTGAAATAAATTATATGCAGTTATGAGTCTGCTTACATCGAAGTACTTATTGATTTGGATAGCACATTTCAAGAAACTATACTCATACCTCGTAAAAGCGCCTGCGGATATGCTGCATTTTTTTCTTTAAAACAAAAAAAAAATAATTATATACATACAATAATTATTTTTTTCATACATATACATCAACAGCAAAGTGAATTGCTGCCTCGTTTTTCTGTCTATTACAACATACAGCTCCTGCGGATATGCTTCGATTTTATGGAATTTAATTATAAAAATTAACCTGAATGTTTATCTTATGAAAAATTCAACATAATAATATTTGGTAAATATGTAAAGAATGTGAGATAAACATCTTTTTAATATATTTTGATCTTTTTATTAAAAAAAAAACCTTACGACAAACATAAAAAATAAAACACTACGTTTTACTATAAATGATTAAAATATAAAAAAGTATAAATTGTTTGAGCAAAATAAGCCAACTTAAATAAATACATAAGTACTCTCTTTATATAGAATAACAAATATAAGACACAGTTGAGGAAAAAATTATTAAATATTTTGTTAAAAATTATGAACCAAAATCCCTAAAATTATACAAAAAATTGTTTAAGAAATTAATATGAAAAGAAATCTATCTAAGAGCCAAAAAATTCTCAGGAAATTAATTATACAAAAGTACTTTAGGTGTATTTAATGTATTTAATACATATGTAACGTTTTTTACTACATTTTTTTATCTTTTTTTTGGTACAAGAACAAAGAACTTTATATAATAGTTTGTATAGTTATAAAAAGAGCAAGCTTAAATTATATATTTGTATTTAACAATATACATCGAATACATTTTATACAAACAAAGAGCATGCAAGTGCATGCTTTACTGCAGATACACGCTTCTTTCTCGCTTTATACGTTAATTGTGACACATACAATTCATTTAAACTTAAATACCTCATTATACATATATGTATATAAATATCAAAAACACTGATGCTAATATTTATGAAGTGAATAAGTGTTTTCGCATTAAATACGTTAGAAAGCCTAATTGCTGGTAATTAATAATCAATAGTTTTTACTGGAGAGTGCTAAATTATTATTTACTCGCATTTATTGATTGCTTGTTATTAATTTTTTTTTGTTTAGAATAGACATAATTTTTACAATTTCGTTTTGTTTGGAAAATTTGCTTCTACTCATTATTCTATTTTAATGTTAATTTTTTTAGCTCATACTTTCATTTAGTTTATTTTCTTATGCTGCTTGGACTTCATTGTATATTTAAATAATTAATTATATACCTTATTCTGTTAAAAGCCAATTATTTTAGCAGAATGTTCGTTTTTATATTTAGTTTGCAAAGGATATGCTGAATGTAAATATATTCATGTTTTGATGATGTCATAACGTGCTTATTTTTTTTTATTTTTTTTTTTTTTTACTTCGGTCAAATTTGATAGATTTATTTCTTTATAAAAAAAATACATATTAAATTTCGTTCTGGTTTTCAAGTCTTAATGAAACTTCTTTTTGTATGCCAAATACAGTTTGTTTTATTGAATTTCGTTTGTCTGAAAAAGTGACTTCTTTTATGCTATAACCTAGTTTTTTTTTTACTAATTTTGCTACATATTTTTTCATTTACTTTCGAATTACAGTTAACTTTGAAATATTTTTTTTCGCGTATATTGTTAATAAATCTTTTGTTTTTCAAGTAGTAAAAGTACTTTTCTTCATTTCTTTTTATTTTTTCTCGAATAATTGCATTTAATTAATTTTTAATTAATTATAATTCATTTTTCATTTGCGAATTTCTTTCGCTTACTTTCATTGATCGCAAATTCTTACATATTTTTTGTCTGTTTTTATATACGTTTTCTTTATTATTGTATTTTAGCTGAGTGGCTATAGCAACAATAGGCTTTAGGCTGTTTCTTTTTTTGTTTTTTTTTTTGCTACTTCATGATTATGTTAAACTTAAAAGAGTCTGTATGTTTTTCGTAGGTCACAAAACAATTCATTTTATTTTGTTTTCTTTTAAAACAAAAATATTTTAATTTATTTTGTTTTCTTTTAAAACAAAAATATTTTAATTTTTCTAAAACGCCTTTACTCAGCCTTAATGTATAATATTTTATTTTTATTCCTTTTTGTTTTTCAGTAATTACGATTTTTATTTTTTATTTTTTAATTATTATTAAATTCTCCTTTATGTATGTGTTTGTATTTACCTTAAGTCATTTATTTTTAATTTTCGTTCACTTTTTCAAAGCATAGATATTGCATTGGATTTTCATAAAATTCCGTTCACTTTTCAAAAGTATTTGCATTGTCTTATCTACGTTTAATAAAATAGTTTATATACAAAATGTATTTTTGTGTTAGGTGCTACGTTCTACATATATGTAGTTTTTATAATAATGTATATGTATTTACTGTAAGCTACTTGACTTTGCGAAAAGAGAAAAATTTTGATTAGAATTCCAAAAATATAAGTAACGATAATTAAAAATTTTTAACTTTACTTAAATAACGTAAGAAAACCACATAAACAATCATTGAGGTAAAACAATTAAATATTGCATATCAAAAATTTAAATTCAAAAATATAAAACCGACTTATAAATGTCTCTTTTTGACATAATAAAAAAAAGAAATAAATTTACTCCACATAGTTTCTTAATATAATAATTTTTTTTTTCTCAAAGTACGTGTTAAAATTTTTTTGAATCTTTTTTATTTGATTCTTCTCTATCGCAAAAATTTTTTTGAATCTTTTTTATTTGATTCTTCTCTATCGCAAACGTCATATGGTTTTAATTTTACTATAAAACTCTTAGTTAAGCTAATCGAATCAAAAGGCTTACTCCATATTATTAACTACCTTATAAACTATTAAAAAATGTTTTTTCTCTGCTCTCTTAACGTTTAAGTACAAATTTTCGTTTTAAAAAAAAAAAAAAATATTTTCATAATTTTTCCAGTTGTATTACACTCAGCTGCTGCCAACTGGTACGCCAAACCTCATTCACAATCAAATACCATACTTTCTACCGCACTGCCGCCTCACTTCTTGCTACTATTGCCACGCCGAAAATAATAACGCGATGTCACCGCTACTATGCGCTTTTCGGCAAAGCGTTTCGGCCAATTCTAGGATTCGTAGAGCAAGCGTTGATAGTGTGGCAACACCTCGTGCATGGGTACATGCAAACTGAACTCCAATGCCACAAGTACAGCGAATTCTGAAGCGATCAACTCTTTGCGATTGACGCGAAAGACATTTTCAGTTTTCTGTACGGGATAAGAAAGAAATGGAAAAATGAATTTTAGTTCCTTGAGTTTATGTGATATCTGCTTTAACTAACCTCAATTAAACTCTTCAGTGATTCACCTTTGACATCATTCATTTTGGCGCTTAGTAGCATACAAGCACCAGCACAAAGCTTACGATTACTCTTGTTAATCAAATTGCCCAAAATTAGTTTCTCAAAGTAGACGTAGGCCTGTGAAATGGTGACCAAATCAATGCGACTATCCAATTTGTTGATGCGACGCATTTCACGCTTGATGCTGTGATGACAAAAGAGGTAGAAGAACGTGTAAGAAATTTGCTTTGAGCTTCAAAGTAATCGAATTTTTCACTCACCTTCTTAATTTGCTTAGCGTCAATTGGATATGTGGAAATTTCTCACGGAATTTATCATTCAATTCCTTCTTCAAATCCGATGGACGCACATAATCGATCACCGATGTCATATACGAAGTGAATGTGAGCAGAGTGCGATGTTTGCCCGCAATCAATTCGGGATCATCCAAAATGTTTGCTGAATATTGGAACTGGAAGGTGAAAATAAATGAATTATTTAAATAAATTTGTTGAGGTGAAAAGTATAATAGTGGCTATTAAAAACTTTAAAAAATTTTTTTAAAAAATTAAAAAAAAAATATTTTTTTTTTAATTCAATAAATCGAAAAAAGCGGAAAAAAATATAAAAAAGTATAAACAGAAAATTTGTGTTACTTTGTAAATTAATCTATGAAAACTCATTGCGACGAATTCCAATAAAAATTTTTAAAATAAATTATTAAAAAGCAAAAGCTTAAAATGCGAAATTTTAACAATTTTAACGAAATTAAAAATTGGAAATATCTTGAAAATTGTTTCCATTTCTAAATAAAAATACGTATAAAACTTAAAAAAAATTTCTTGACTCGTAAGCATATAGGAATTAGAAACATTGAGCAGTAAATTAACTAAAACAAATAAAAAAATTTAAATTATTAAAAAAAAATTAAAATAATCTCAAGGAATTTTTTTGTTGGTTGAAATAAATTAAACTCTTCAAATAATGTCAAAAAAGGTTTTTTTTTCCAAAATCTTCCACCACTCACCTGCATGCCGCGTGCGCCATCAGGATTCAACAAAAGGTTATCATCTAAATCCAATTTGAGATCTGGTGTAGGACTTGCGGCGCTATTACGATTATTATTGTCATAAGTGAAGCACCTAAATAGGAATGAAAATATAAAAAAAAATTTAATTAATTTTATTTAATTAAAAATTATTGACAAACACATGCAAATAAATGATAAAAACAAATAATTGAAAGAAAAAATATTTTTACCAAAAATTACAACAGTTAAAAGAGTGTTTAGTAAACAGTTTGTGACATTTGTTGCCAGTGTAATAATTAAAAATAATTTTGTTTCAAAATTTTTATTGTTGCTATGAAATCAGGTTAGTGATGTTATGAAATGCTGCTTTCAATGTTGTTAGTATGTATAATCTGGTATGCAAATATTAGAGATTTAGTTGCAAATAAGAAACATAAAACATAACGCAAAAAAAAACAAAGAAAAATTCAAACAAGTGTTTCTAATATACAATTTTTTTCAATTTTTGTTTGTACTAATTTCATACAAAAAAAAATAATTTTACTTAACTACTTTTTATTCAAAATGTTAAACAAATTTTAGTATGTTACGTATAGTGCTTTTTGCTTTTTTATTTTCATTTTTTATTTACCATTTTCCCTTTTGCCAGGTTATAACTTTTGTCCTGCAAATATAGCGCATGAAAAAAAACAAGATTCCAAATTAAAATTGAATTACATTTTATAGAAAAATTCGGCAGCATTAAACTGTGCTTGGAAGTTTTTTTTTAATTTGTTATGTTTAGTAGTTGTTGTTGTTTTTGCTTGCTAAATGTGCAATTTGTAATTTTATACAGAGAACAAAAACAAAAATGAATGCAATTTGCATTTTGTATTTTGGTTGTGTGCAAACAAAAGTTTTGTCCTACGCCAACAAGTGACTAAGGCTTAATTTCAAAAAAAAAAAAAAAAAAAAAAAAAAAAAAAAAAAAATTTAAAAAAAATAATAAATTTAAAAAAAAAATAAATTAAAAAAAGAATTAATTTAAAAAAAAAAAAAAACAAAAAACTTTAGCTTACATGTTAAATATAAATATTAAAAAATTCTAAAACAAATAAAATAAAAAAAATAAATATAAAAAAATATAAATATGTAAATAAAAAGTATTTACAAAAAATACATATAACAAACTGAAGTCATATACCTCATGAAATTGTAGCAAATTTTATAGCACTTGCAATGTCGTATCATAAATAAATATCTGACATTTAACACCCAAACATTTAAAGCATGTTTTTGCTACAAAAAAAAAAAAATATATATATATATATATATATACATATACATTTAAAAAAGTGTTTTCGAAGAAAAATTCCACAGTAAGAAAAAAATAAATAAACCATAAGGAACTACAAAAAGTAAGCATCAGCAAGTAGATTTATATTACATTTTTGATAAAATATTTATTTTTATTTTTATTGTTTTTGGTGCAGCAATAATACTGCGTAGTAAAAAATGCAGAAAAAAAATTTATTTATTAATTTTGCAAACGAAGAAAGAAAAAATCAAACAAATCGGTGGCAGTAAGCATAAACTGATAAAAACAGAAGCAGAGGCGCAAAATAAGCAAATAATGGAAATCAGCAAAACAACTGTAAAAAAATAATAATAATAAAAAAAAGAAAATAAAAAACAACCATAAGGGGCTCGTTCCTTTAGCTGATGCATACAAATCATATTTTTACGTAATACATATTTTATAAACAAAAAGTTTAAAGAGAAACAAAAACAGCAAATTGTATGATGAAAATTATTTTGATAATTGCATTATATATTTTTTGACTGACATTTTTCTTTCTTAACTTCAAAAATTCATCTTTTAAGGCTTATAATGAAGATTATGAAGCAGAGTTGCCTTTTCATATTTGTATTCAACTCAAATATTCATGTATATACCGAATACGGTATTGAGAATTAAAGACACGCTTATGTAGGNGGATCGAAGGGTGCATCGTTGATTGCTGAGAGAGGACGCGAACCAGAGGGATTGCGTCGGCGACCCTCTTTGCGTAGTTCGGCTCTGTGGGAGAAGAACCGAATACGGTATTGAGAATTAAAGACACGCTTATGTAGGACTACGAAAGCTTTCGATTTAAGAGAAATTATTGGATATACTATATGTACATATGTATGTCGGGTTAACTTGAAATTTTTATGATGCAAAAAAGCTGCAGAAACAGAACAAAGTTGAACAGCAAGCTCGAGATTTGGCAATCGTTAACACTTTTCTGAGTACCATAAAGTCAAAATGTATCATATTTCACTTAAAGAGCTATAATACTAATAACGCCAGTGACAAAAAAATATAAAATTTATACAAATAAAAAAATTAGTTATTAAAAAATAATGATAAAAATTAAATCGTTCCGAAATACAATAGAAAAACGTTTTAAAGTCTACGTGGTTAACAGGTTTTTTTTGCCTACATACTCTTTTCCGATATTTTTTTATTCCACTTTATTTCCATTTTATTTATTTTAATTTTTTTACTTTATTTTACTTTTTTTATTTTAATTAAATTAATTTTCATTTAATTTTATATAACTTTATTTTAATTTTTATTTAATTTAAATATATTTTATTTTATTTTTTTGTATTTTATATTATATTTCATACTTTTATTTTATTTTATTTTTTAAAAATATTTTATTTTTAATTTAATTATATTTTATTGTTTTAATGTTACGTCTTTTATTTTAATTTCTTTTATTTTATTTTATTGTTTTTAATTTATTTTATTTATATTTTTATTTTTTATTATTTATTTTAACTAAATACAATAATTTTTTTCGTTAAATTTTTTAACTTTTTTTTATTTAAACTTTTTTGTTTTAATTTTAATCTTTTTTTTTTTTTATTTTAACTTTTTTATTTTAATTTTTATTTCACTTTATTTTATTAATGCTTTTTGACTTAAATAAATAGTATTTTACTTTTATTTATTTTATTATATTTTATTTTAATAACAAAGTAACAAAAGAATTTAGTAAAATTAGCACGATTCGCATTTAAGGCTTATTCTCAAATAAAATGTTTAAATCCACTCTTTAGTCTGCTTACTCGTTTTAACCTTTGTAACCTATAACCTAGCCCCAGCGATTGAATTTTCGTACTACAAGATTTGAGTACTATACCGTTCGATGTCTATGCTTTCACTATCAACTAGCGAGCAGAAATCAAAAATGAACTTTATTTGATAATAAGAAATTACTATTGAGTGAGGTCATGCCATCGTTGGGCGAAGACTTTTTTCCTATTTAAGGATAGTTAAACAGTATAGAACACACCTACAAAATACACAGAAGAAATAAACAATAAAAACCCAAGAAATTGCGTGTCTTGTTACAAAAAGCTTATATTGCTAGCAAACAATGGACGCAGCCAATAATAAATTGACGCCAACAAAAAAAATTAGAAAACCAAAGAAATAGAATAAAAAAAAAAATTAAAACTTCTTGGCGAGTGCATAAGCTCAAAAATCCAGTATTAAAGCCGACTAGACGAGACTACAAGAGATTTATATAATACACACATATGCCGAACGGGAATATTAGTAATGAAATGTTTTCAAAGACCCGTCAGCGTGGGTGCGCTAGTAGTGGCTGAGGGTGAATAAAGATGTATTTGCCGGCTGGGTAAATGAAAAATCAATACTGTTCATATATATTGTTTGATTTTCTATTGCGTTTCGCTTTCAATTTTTCGCTCTAACTACTATTAAATGCAAGCAAACTATTTTAATAGATTTTTTCTGCTATAATCAATGAGATCTAAGCTAAATGATTTATGTATTTTCAGCAATAAGAGGTGGTTAGTAAAATATGTATGTATGTAGGTATAAGCACACTTAGTGAATTGATGAGGAGTATGAGTTTCGGAAAATTGTATACACAAATGCATTAGAGTTTGCTAATTCAGACAACGCATGTGTATGTATGCACCTAGCAGATATGTATGTATGTATGTACAGAAATGTGAGTGAAAGTGTTTAGATATATGCGTATATATATGTATGAGTGTCAGTGTGCTTAATTGCACGAGCTTAGTGTGACAGCGTAGCTCAAGGTCACACACGCACACACACTCACCCAACCCCACACGAAATTTAGCTACAAAAGCAAACGGACTCACCTGGCTATGCCATGATTTTTAAGTGCTGCTGTACTTGTAATTTCCATTTGACTATCCAACGTTGATGTATTAGCTGTATTGCCAGAGCCATGTTTGCTTTTACTCTCCTTGCCATAATGGCGTGTGGGTATAAGTAAATGGCCATAGGAGATTTCCTGCAATAAGGATGATAGAAAAAAATATTTATTTTCACATTCTGTATATGTATGGAATATTAAATGTTGGCATACCTGTCCGCTTTCACCCTTTTCGATACCCAATAAATCGAATGGATCGAAGGGTGCATCGTTGATTGCTGAGAGAGGACGCGAACCAGAGGGATTGCGTCGGCGACCCTCTTTGCGTAGTTCGGCTCTGTGGGAGAAGATAAAATTTAGATTGATACAAAGAATAATTTATTAAAATAGAAAAAAATAAAATAAAAGAGTTCAAAATTTAATGAAAAAATAAAATATAAATTAAATAAATAAATTAAATTAAATAAGATATAAATGAATCGAAATAAAATTATGAACTAAAAATATATAACTTAAATATAATAAAAATAATATATTTAATTAAATTAAAATGAAATAAAACAAAATAAAATAGAATGAAATGAAATAAAAATGACAAAAATTTAACAAAAATGAAGATATATAAAATAAAATATTTAAAAAAAAAAATTATATATAGAAAGAATAAAAAATATAGTAAAATATAATTAAAAAAATTAAAAAAAAAAAATAAAATAAAATTTTTTAATGCTTTAAAACAAAATAAAATAAAATAAAGTAACATATAATAAAAAAAATACTAAAATAAATTAAATTAAATTAAAAATAATTAAATAACTAGAATTAAATTAAAATAAATTTAAATTATATAAAATGAAATAAAACTTTTGCAATATATTTTTAATATCATAAAATTTAGAATATTAAAAAAAATTAAAAAAAAAAATCCACTGTTATACGTATTTCTTCACACACTCACCTGCCATTTTTACCCTTGTAGTATGGCAATGCCGAGAATATAAAGAATGGCACTTTTCGCGACATCAACACCACACGTTCATCCTTGTATTGATGCTGTTTGTGCGCTTGTGTACTGAGGAAACGTAAATCCTTAGCATCGCTAATCTGTACACTCTTACTGATACTGCCACGTCCAGTAAAACTGCCCGGAAAACTACCGGGCGTCAAACTCTCCGTACTACTGTCATCGGTTATGTGTGTGGAACCGTGGATTATATTGCACGGTCGTTTACCGCCAGCACTGCCGATGCGCATACCCGGAGCCGTATTGAGGCGGGCACGACGTTCTGGTAAAATACCGGCATCATTGGCGCCATTGCTGAAGGTTCTGCAAATGGAGAGAAATGTGAAAGAAAATATTAATTAAAATCTTATTATTATATAATTAGAATAATTATTACTAAAAATTATTAATTTTCTATTAAATTCATTAAAAGTGCTTTTACAGTTTCAATATGGGTTTCATAACTGCTCCCCTTATAACGCTGTATGCTTAATATTTTTTCATTTATATAAATATTCTTTTTATTCACATATAAATATATAATATGTATGCATATATTTTGTGACAAAATATTTCCAAGAATTGTAAAAGTTCGTTACTCTTTTGCCGTTTACGCATTTTTCGTACTGAAAATATTTTCATTTTGCATAATAATGCTTAGCATTATTAACATTTTATCTTGCCAACATTTTATCGGTTTGATAAAAATGTAAACAGAGAGTGTGGGAGTGAGAGCAAAATTATACCGTATTACAATAAGTCAGAGCATTTCTTTCACACATTGAGCAGATTACAGCGATATTTTTTAACACAGTGTTGCCACATACTGTAATTAATGTTAAAAAAATTTAATTTTTGATTTTTAATGAATAAAAAAAAATTTTTGCTTAAATAAAAAAAAATTATAAAAAAAAAATATTAAAAAAAAGTCTAAAAATATCTTGTGAAATTAAACAAAAATGAAATAAAAGTTATTAAAATTAATATATAAAAAAAATATTTAGAAATTAATAGAAAATATTGAAATTTATATGTTAAGTTAAAATGTCAATACTGCTAGACATATATATTTTGTAAAACATATACAAACTAGTCAGTATAAAACAAATTTTCAAATGGATGGATTGCATTATTTATTTATTATTATTTACATTTTTTGGCATTATCTGCTGCAGCAAGTATTTCCTCTATAGTAACCGGAAGGAAGTACAAAGCAACAACAACAACACAAAAAACCAGTAACAGGCTATAGAAAAAAGAATCGAGACGTCAGAATTCAAGCTACAAAAAGCACGCGAGCGCATAGTAAATAAACTTATAAGCTTATATGCACTAACAACAAAAACAATTTTTTTTCCGACATAAAGAACATTTGAAAACCCAGAACAAAGAATTAGAAGAATAACAGATCTGTTTGGTCAAGAAAACGTGACAGGCGAGCAAAGGTTTGCACAAAATAGGCAGTGATCGGCAGCGACGTACGGATCAACTACTATAAGATCAACAAAGCAAAAGCAAAATACAATAGCAAAAATGGTGAAAAAACAAAAATGTACGAGCATTAATTATTCTGCAGACACAGCGTTCTTGAGAGCCCCGAGAAGTTTTAATCTTATGCAACGATCTAATGATCAGCAGGCGCACAAAATTCCAAAGCAACGAAACTACAATGTTTCGAAAATTATGCACTATGTATAGCATACACATCTATACACACATATGTACATAAAATGTTAAATTTAATGCTAGTTTTGTTTCTTAAGGTTATTGAAACTAAAATTGTTTTTTTGTATTTTTTGTTTCTTATTTTCTTTTAACTCATGTGAAGATCCAAAAAAAAAACCATTCACAACATTTTATTTTATGCTCCTAAGCATATATATGTATACGTGTATATACATATATAACTGTAGGTATGCATTTTTGAAACATTGTTTTGGCTATTCAACCAACAAAAATTTTCATTTAGTGAAGGCAGCAGTGAATAAAATACACCAACACAGTACTTGACTACGATAAAGAGCCTTGAGAATTCTTGTATTTATTTATATAAATTTTTTGTTCGGTTTATATGCATTCGAAACGCAAAAGTAAGACAATACACGAATGAGGAAGAGAAGACAATGGAAGAAAAGGCAAACCAAACATTAAAAAGCAAATAATAATGAAATCATGGCAGGAAAATATTTGTTGTAGGATCACTTGAAAAAAAAACATAATATGCTTCGGGAAAAAAGTAAAAAATAATTAATAAAATAAAGATAAAATTAGAGTAAAAAAAAGTACAGTAAAAAAAAAAACGATAATAAAAATTAAACAAAATAAAATTATATAAACAACAAGATAAAAAAAACTAAAATTAAACAGAATAAAAACTAAAATAAACAAAACTATGAAAATAAAATTGAATAAAACAAAAAATAAATAAAACTAAACTATAAAACTAAAAATTAAAAAAAATCAAAATAAAATAAATAAGCAAATAAGATAAGACAAAAGAAAAAACTATTTTAATAAAAAAAAATCAATTCAATAAAGAGTAAAATAAATTAAAATTAATTAAAATACAAAAATTATTTTATGAAAAAAAAATTAAAACTCAATTAAACAAAAAATTAACTGAAATAAAATAAATAAACGATTAAACTAGCATAAGAAAATATAATAAAATAAAATAAATAAAAAAATAAGAATGAAAAGAAACAAAAATAAAACTAATCTAAATAAAAAAGTCAAATAAAAAATAAAAACAAAATATAATAAAAAAGTACAATAAAGTAAAGAAACAATAAACTCAAATCAAGTAAGATAATAAAAAAAATAAAATAAATTAATAAACCAATTGATATCAAATCAAAATTAAATATAAAAAATACAAATAAAGCAAAGAATAAATAAAAATTTATTAAATAAAAGTTACAAAAAATTAATTTATTAAATGAAACTAAAATAATACTTGACTTTATTAATATTCTTATTTATTAAAAACTGCTATAGCGTAATTTAAATAAATTAAATTCAAATGAAATTAGAAATCCGCAATAAAATCTAAAAAAATATTTAAAAAACAAATATTATAAAATTCAAAACAAAAAACTGAACTACTAAAACAATTAAAAAGCTTAAATATTTATTTTAAAAAGCTTAACTATATAAATACAATAAATAAATATTGAAAATAAAAAAGGAGTATTTTTTTAACTATTCCACAATTTTCTCCCGGTGTACATACCGCCTTTAAAACCATTTTAAAAAATTCGTACTATTAAATAAAAATGTCTTCTTCATTGCCCAAATTATCGATTGACACAAATTACATACATATAAACATATATTATTTATGCATCATTAACTGTCACATAAATATGTAAATGACACCATTTGAACACTAATGCCAAAAACACCCCTTCCAAATCGATCGATTTTCGAACAGGCGAACAGCAAGTGCTGCAGGTGGATAGGGCATGCTGTAGAAATCAATGTGAAATCGAATCCGATCGTTGAACGGCCTAAAATGAGTGCAGAGCGCCAGCTGACAGTAACAAAAAAAATAAAAAAATAAAAAATAAAACTCAGCGATCGCACAATCGATCGATGGAACGTACAAACGAATGGATGAGTAAGAAGTGCAAAAACAAACAACAAGTCAGCGCATGACCTCACGCACTATCGCCAAGTGATGATCAAGCGTTAGCCGGCGCTGCATTTGAAACGCTCTCCCCAATATCGGCCCCAACTACATATGTGTATGAGCGAACAACGAACGTGATTGTCGGTGATCGCGGTGGCGTATGGTGAATTTGGCTGCCGTTGATCGTGCAGTCGTACACCAGGCGCACACAATCGACGATAAGTAAACACGAACGACGTTTCTAAATTTGTAATTGAATTTACGCTGCAGTGTGCAGCCCTTTGCGCTCAGTTGTCCCTGGTTGTATAGCTATTTTAGGTTTTCCTATACACATGAGGGAAAGAAATAAAAAAAAAATACCAGCATATAAGTACTCGTAAATTGTTTCTGTTTGCCTCTGTTGCTTCTTGATCAAGCATTGTGTTCGCTTTTCGAAAACACTTGACGCTATCGGCATGTAGCGAGGGCCCGCATTCGACCGGTGGATTTTGGTGGTTGCTTGTAGGAACGCTGGTTGCTGCTGTTTGTGTCTCTAAAATAATGTTGATGGGTGTGTAATTGTATTTAATTTTTCAACTCAAAATGCATAGAGACAGACGTGCATGTTTTATAATTTTTTTATTTTTCTCTATTTTTTTCCGCCCTACTGTAACACTTGTCATTTGTGTCTACAGTATTGTGGCGCATTTTTTGAAAGTTTCGTTAATTTTTACTCCACTTCTAATCTTCTATTACTTAAATGGGTCGGTCATTCATGTGCCAAGCTGAAATATTTTCGATCTCGGAAAGTTCATTCGATTTTCTGCTGTTTTTGAACAAATGGAATATTAAGACACTTAAAGATTAATAGACGTCGGAGTTCAAGTGGAACTTTTAGAGTTTTGAAGAATAGAATAACACCTCTTTATTCTTGTATGTTCGACCCTCCATCGAAAAGATTATTTCGTCGTCTTTTGCGGACGACCGGAAATATACACAAATTTATTCGAAAATTCTGTGAATATAATCTACTATGAACTACTACTATACCTTTGTAAGCACCATAGAGCTCATGATAGCAAACTCGAAAAATCTATTAGCTCTTCCACTGCCTTGCAATAATGATTAAACAGTGAAAGTCTTAAAAAAATTTCTAACGGGTTAGCCCTAATAAAATAGAACGTCCAGAGCATTGAAGAACAGGAAAAACAATCTTGGATCTTACCCTTCTTCGGAGAAATTTTCAATGCTATTTTTTTAAACACAACTGTAAGGCCTTTAAAAATCTTAAAGCAAAACAAATACGAAAAAATAAAAACCACAAGACCAATAGAAAGACGGAGTATCTGCTGGCAAAGACCATTCGACACTTGTGTGAATTGAAAGAGCAGAATTAAGAAGATTGCCTAACCAACGAAAAACAAAAAAACACGTTGCCCTACTCGGAGCACCAACACAAAATGCAGCATAGAACGACACAAACTACAAACCTCAAGGCGAACGAGCGAAGGGAAAAAGACCAAACGCTATCGCAAATGACGTTATCAGTATTAAGAAAGAGGGAAAACTTGTGTTTTTAATTACAATACGAAATGAATGAAATGAATGATGGAGTGTGTGTGAGTCATGAGGCGTTGCGCACTGGCATGACGGAGTGAGGGCAGAGTGTAGCCGAAAACGCTGGCTGTTTGGCATTGAAAACTACAAGAAAACA